GACTTCATCTCAGCGCGGCCGCCGCCCAGGCGCCGCTGCGCCCGGCTGCTCAGCCACCTACCGGATGGCGGGGTGGCCCTTACGGCCCTCACGCCCGTTCGGTCTGCGGCCACGTTGTGGGGTGGCGGTCGCGGGGTTAGCGGCGTTGGACTTCGTCCTTTATCCAGACTGCACCGTACCATCTGAACGGATGGATCTGCCAAGAAAGATGACATCCAAGGCGGCTATGAGGCGATCACAAAGCTTCACCAAGAGCTTCTCCTTCATGGGGCCGGCCGGCCGTTAAGTCGCAACACCGGCTGCCGAGTGCCAACAGCTGCGTGCGCTGGCGCCGACGCGTTGTGGGCCGCGCTGCTGACGCCCAAGCTGCGATATCAACCATCTATGAATAAGTGGCAGCGGTGGCGGCTTGTCAGTTGGGGCATTCCACGATAGATCGTACCACTTTTTCCCAATTTGACACCCTCATCTCTCGGATTTTAACGATAATTGGTCTAAGGGGTAATCAGGGGCTCTGAATCCTCCTGTAACAATTTCAGGCTTATCAGATGAGTGGTTTTTGAGTTATAGTGTATAGCATGTTTTGGATCTTGCGTTGCAGTCCCAAGTTTGGCGGGCTGTAACTCTAAGACGGATAAATCCAAATGCCAAATGCTATACGGCATTGAACTTGCATTGAAACAAAGAATAATATGCATTTTTAAAATTTTGAAATATATACTATTTTTGATATATAACACCTCGAGTTTCCTTTCATTTGCATTTTTATGCCTTTGGGACCAAATTTTTTTGAATTTTTATTTACTTAAAAACATTTTTGGATCATTTTTAAGTAGTATGCAAAAAATTAGGAAGGTGTTCTTTCTATAAATGTACTTATTTTGCGTCACCGTAATGGTCTCGAATTGTGATTTCGGAAGAGAGCCTACAAATGGTGTGGTAACGCTGCCTAGTGATATCACTGGTTACTGAAAGTTCAATTGAAGTCATTTTTGCCTCACTTTTGCATTGTTGACCTTGTGTGACGTCATTCGTACGTCACTAGGGTCATAAGAGTTTTTCGTCAATAACTCTCGATCAAATTGAGCTAGAGAGACGGGAAGGCTACCAGTGGACTCGGGAAGACCTTGCGAATCGAATGATGTGCAAAATGATCTCATTCACCCAGCTTCGTGGCCTGACCCGACTGTTAACCATCTCTGTAGCGGCGCTGTTTGTCCAGCGCCGCGCTGGTTGGCTTTGCCGCGGACTCGGGGCGGTCACGTGATGCCCGGGGGCTGGCTGCCGGCTGGGCCGCCCGGTCGGGGCGCGGAGCCAAATACACGGCAGTGTGCTTACCCGAGGTCAGCGACTTAAGCTGACTTCACCAGAACAAACAGTATACCATTCGACGCGCCGGAGCTAGGCAAACACAAAGATGCTAAAATCGCGGCTCTGCGACCATTTGTTGCGAAGTTATCTATCAAAAACCGGACCCGTAATTTTGGGTCGCTTGAAATGACCTCAGGGGTCACCAATGAACCCAAGACCTTAAAATGTGGTATCATTCGATGCATCTTGTAACGCCGCACATGCTCGTTTTTTCCCCAAGGTTCTAGCTCCATTAGAGGCGAAACGGCGAGCTGGGGTCGTACCGACCCCCCGGAAACCCATTTTGTATACATTTAAATGAGGAACTTATAGAAAGAACACCTTTCTAATTTTTTGCATGTCGATTTTAAAGGACCTGAGGTTTATTTTGAAGAAATAAAAATGGCAAAAATTTTGGTCCCAAGGGCCATTATAGACAATTTAAAAAAATACTACGACTTTTTTCAATATGTAAAGCTTTTCTTTCCAATTTTAAAAATACTGTATTTATCTTTGATTCATCGTTAGTTCAAAGCTGTTTACCGTTTGTTGCTTGCTTAGCTCGTTTTTGAGTTATAGCTTATCAAACTCACCCTTACAATCTAACGTTTAGAAAATATTATGCAATGTAACTCAAAAAGTTTTCATCTGAGAAGTCTGATATTTTGGCAGGTGTTTTTGGAGCCTATGATTACCCCTTGTACCAATTTCCATTCAAATCTGAGAGATGAGGGTGACGGGCCTGGTACGATCTATCGTGGAATGCCCCAGTTGTTAACGTGCCTTAACAGACGTTGCGAATAGCCCGCGTTGGAATCGCATGGTTGGCAACGCAACGCAAGTAAAAATGGGCTTCCTTGATGAACCTACTTTTTAAGCATTGTAGCCTTTGTAATTTTGGATGTTTTGCTGTAGATATTATTTTCTACATATATACTATATAGGCACTCACGTGCTTTAAATCGCGCAATGCAATTGAACCATGGTAAAGACAATGATAAATGAACTGAGAGCTGACATGCCCCATGCTTTGTGTGTGTATGTGTGTGTGTGTGTGTGTGTTTTTGCGAGTCGATAAAAGTGGTTTTGGACACTGGATGAGTTTTTAGGGGTGTGGTGAGGGGGGATGTAATTCCACAGACCTTCTGTCAGATTCACTAATGCAGTAGGTCTGTGCGGTGTTTAGTTATCGGAGCATTCTTTGAAAGTCGTGAATAGGGCCACCGAGTACCTAAAGCCGTGATATTCCCCCACAAAAACTTCTTTTAAATAACCGGGGATAGGTATGTACATGAGCAGAGTAAATGCTATTACGAACGCCTATCACAATGCTGAGCGAATAGGAAAATCCATAGATGGAGAATTGTGCCGCGTTACGGGTGCTCGGGCGCAGCCAATCCACCGTTACCCCAGCGGTGACCTTGACCCGCATCGTCTGTCTCGGCTCCAAAGCCAAACCGGCGTGGAATTGGGAGCGTTCGAGCACTCATGGTCCAGCACAATTATCCACCTAAATCCATTCCTGATACACATTTGCTTGCTCATAGTCATGTAACCCCGGTAAATTCACCCAACTTTCATATTGGTCGCTCCATAGACAGATGGCCACAGAGATCAACTTAAAAGGCCATTGTTGCATTCATTTAGTGGAGATCATTAAAGAGCCGTGACAGGCCACAAGTCGCGTGACATCATACGTGTAACGACCAATGACGTCGGCCTGCAAAACCCAATGGAAGCGGCTAGCAGCGTGCAATAAAACAGGGCGCTGCTTTCTAAATGTCTGTCGTGCGCCATAAATGAATATATTCTTTGTAGCCTGGCAACTCAGTATCTTTTTTTAACTATTGTACTAGTATTTCATAATTTCATAATTTTATAATTGTGCTTACGCTTTATGTTGATATTAGTGATAAATCCTTAGATAAAGTAAATCGATGTGATATTTAATAGAAAAATAGCAAACTAATGCACCATTCATTCGAAAGCTGGGGAACCTACTAAAAAGAACTACTAAAATTCCTGAGGAACCAAAGGATCAAATGGGGATTAAATAGATGCCTGCTATTCCGTCGTGAAAACGGCCTGTGGTCACTAAAGCAAAATCTGACCAGTTATATGTATATTCAATTTAAAAGAAATCTATATTTTTGTAGATCTCGAATGCACCTCTATAAAGCATTTGAGCGGAACGCCGAAAAGAAGTCGGGTAAGAAGTCTCGGGCATTAGTATCGTGCATCTCCGATTTTCAAGCGTTTAACCCTCGCCGGACCTACTTTTTTCTACATACAAGGGCGGAGGGGTGGATACGACCCCTCCCCCACCCCCACCAATCGCCCACTTTTGAGCTTGAGCTTTCCGAAACAAATGAGCTTGTGCGCCGTTACGAGATGGAGCGATCGGTAAACGACTTTAAGGTCTCAGGTCAGCCGGTGACCTCCGAGGTCAGGTAAGTGGTCCAAGGCACGGGTTCGGTTTTTGGTAAATATCTTCAACAAAAATGTCTCTAGCGCCGCGATTATGGCACCATCGTGCTCTCCATTCTCAGGCGCATCGAATGATTTACCTCCGTTATGTTTGGGTGAGGTCAACTAAGGGTGTTGAGCGTTGACCTAAGGTAAATGCCAGTTCAGAGCCACTCAGGTCGGCCGGCGAGGGTCAAAATGTTTTTCTTTTTTTGCTTGGCTGTGAAAGTGGTCTACCTTATAATTATTTCTAAAAAGCGTAGGCATCTAACAGAGAGCACCAGCTGCGCTTCCGTGATATGCATGCAAGTTTCGTTTGTCCTCGCAGTCTCACATGGGCGACGGGATTTTAAGAAGAGTGTAAGAATGTAAGGATGTAGAAGCAGAAGAGGAAGAAGAAGAAAAAAAAAGCAAAAAAGAAGTGGAAGAAGAAGAAGGAGAAGAGGAAGAAGATGAAGATGATGAAGAAGAAGAAGAGGAGGAAGAAGAAGAAATGAGGAAGGCAATTTAATCCAAGGGGGTTGTAGACAGGTCTTCCTACGATAGCAGACTGATTTTGGGTGTCACACGACATGATACACGCCATGCTTTTATTGCTCGAAATGTTTGGTGCATCTTAACTTTGCATGAGTCACGGTGCACCTGCTGTCAGACATCACACGATGGTATTTTTCTGCTCCCTTTGTTAGAGACTTCGACCCCGTCTGAGATTAGTGCCCCCCACCCTCACCCCCGACCGGTAAAAGCAGTTGTCGCCCGTCCACCCCTCGCCGCCCGCCGACCCTGTAAAGGTCAGGGTCATCACCGTCACCAGCTCAGCGTCAGGCTCACGTCCCTGTGACCCAGCGGCTGTATCCGGGGCGATGTCAGGCAGGAGACACGGAACATCGCGCCGATTCGGACGGAGTAAAGGTCACCTGTAACGCAGGGTCTATAAACGCATGCGCACTTCCAGTGATGAGCGCTTGTGAATGAGGTTCGATGGATTCTTCCCGAACTAAAATACCGGGTTTTGGGACTGCCTAAATATTGAAAATTACTCATTAGTGTCCGTTACAGAGAGGCTCAAAGCCATAGTGAATCAGCGTTAGAGAAAGGTGCTTATAAAACATTACGTAAGTACTTTTTTTGCCGCTTCACTTGTAGAAAACATAAAAAAGATAATGTAAAAATAAAAGAAAAAGGAAAAACGGAGACATTTATTTATTTATGAAGCATTTCCAAACTTTATCATAATATATTCTGAAGAATGTATTGCCATGGTAGTTGGCACTCAAGGCTTATTACTCGCAAGTTGCTCTAATGGCAGACAGCGATCATTTATCACCGGCCATCGAGCAGTCACATTTTTGTTATACAATGCTGCCAGCCTGGCCCCACGGCGGGGTTCTCGCCCATCGGTGCCTTTCTTCTCGCATACAACGACGGCGGCAGTGCCGATATGACATCAGACGCCGACACCGTCTACGCATTCGGCTTCTGCACCTCGGTCACCATCTGAGCTTCACTGCTGACGCTGAAGTTGCCCTGGCCCCTGCTGCTGGCCAGGTGACTCTGGCGGGCCTCGGCGACGCTCATGCGCTCGCTGATGGTGCTGTCTGCGCCGGGGGTAGATGATGTTCGCCCGGCGTGCCTGCCGGCGCCGCCGGAATCGGCGCTCTGGTGGAGGATCGCTCGCCGACGCGTCTCACCATCGCCGGAGGTAACGGCCAGCGCCCTCAGGGCAGTCCGGTTCGCCGCCAACTCTGCGGGTGGAATCAGCGTCGTTCAAAAAACCAATGAATACCAACAAACAGTCTTTTTAATACTAATGACAGATTCTTGCGAAACCATTTGCATAATAATTTAGAGTGCTGATATGTTCTTCAAATTACCTTCAAATTCTCTTCAAATTTATCACTTGTTGCAGACTACATTAGCGTAAAGAACCACATCGCACAATGAGAACACGGAACCCTTACCTGAATCGGACTCAACACTATGCCGGAAGAAGCCGTGGCCGATGGAAGAGGCGTTGCCGGCAACATTCGACCTCCCCACCAGGTCTCTCCTGGATCCTGGCGAATCTTCGGTCGATGAGGCCAAGTTGGCGGCGGTGCCATTAGTGAAGACGACCGCAGATCCCTCGCTGTGACCCGTCTGAACGGCCCGTGAGGCCACAGTCTCACGCTCCCGGCTCGGCGCTGGGCCGGCTGAACGGAGAAAGTTCCGGTCAGAGTCAGGTCAAATTCAAAGCCGATCAAATAAGGGTAAGGTAAGATGTAGTCCATCGAGATCACTTAACGGCCAAAGCTACCACACACCGTCCATATAGTTATTCAGCGTCTCCAGTAGTCCATGGCCAGTGCTCACCTTCCAGTCCTCAAAGAGAAGTTTGGTCAGGTTATTTGAGTTTAGGAGGTACCATTCGTGTCCGAGCGATCACTCGATAAGTGTCCGGCAATGCAAGTCAGCCTCCTAGATCAGCATTCTAGACAGATCTTCAAAACTATCACCACTTCACTCACCTTCGGCGGAGCGCTTCACTTCACTATCAGCCAAGTTCCTGAACGTAAAGAAACCCTTGTTTTTGCTGGCGCCAGACTGGACGATGTTGGCCGCCTCGTCTGTTCGCTTGCTGCGCCGGATGGCGCCTCCCTCCTGTGAGGTGGTGGCGTTGAGCTCTCCGGAGAAGCGGGCGTTGGCGCCGGTGACCACGCCGGTGTAGGCGCCTCCGGTCGTGTTGCCGAAGCTGATTGAGTGGGTGGACGAGGTCGCCTTTCGGGCGCCGATAGAGTTGGCGTCTGCCGGAGATGTGCGAGTTATACGTAGTTAATGCTTTCATCCTTATGTTTTGCAGGAAGACACTTTTATGGAATTGTTCTAACTCCGTATGCAAGGGCCGACGCAAGATCCATGACGAAATTCGCCGACAGGGCCAAGCCCCACTAACCGGCGAAGTCAAAAGTAAAAAAACAAAAAAAAAACAGATGGACAGATCATGAAAATGACACCGAATTACCATGAAACCCACAGGTTTCATGATAACTGGATACCAAGAGGTATTCTGAATTACGGATAAACATTGCCAAACATTCCAGGACTATGCATCTTCAGCCGGCGGCAGAAGACCTCACTCACCTCCTCTGGTGTCGGCGAACTGATCGTAGGCTCCGGCTCCGGATGAGGTGCTGCGGGTAACCGCTCTGGTCTCTGCGCGAGCGACCTTCTCGAGGCTGAGGTCAAGGTCAGTCAGTCGGAGTCTCTCGCTGGCTCCGCCCCGAGCCTCAGACCGCGATGACACCGAGGCGCCTCCCCTGGTGGAGCCTCTGTGACTCTGTTTTGACTCCACCCTGAGTCGCACGTCCGGCAGGGGTGCCGGGCTGGGCGCCGCTGCTGATGGTGCTGTGACTTAGAGGCGCCCAAGCGCGGAAATCGGGTCATTTCAGGCGGCATTCGGCCATCAGGCATCATCAAATGCATGCATCCTCCATCCCATCTTTCGGCATCAGTTTGGGTAAGGGAAGGCAATGCTGGAATTTAACGGGCTGGTCGCATGGTTAAATAGACATAGGTATAATAGGGTCAAGTTAATTCTTCAGCAAGTCCTTCATTTTAGGAACTATTCGGTAGCTCGCTGACAGCCATCAGCGAGCCTGTGCAGAACTCCGACATTTTGAGGCCAAAGATCACTCGGTCGTGGATATTCAGCAGCAGGATTTGACGGCAGCTCTTATAATACATTTCTATAAGCAGTGAACACGTTGCGTGCTACGCACATTTTGAAGCCATTTGCAGCTTGCAACATATGGTTGAATGTGAACTTGCTCGAAAAGTTTGAATTGCAATGAACGTGTATTTGCCCGCCACCGTGTCCCGGTTAGGGTTACCTACGGTTTGACGTCTACCTTTTGGTTTTGACAAGATACGTTGATTGGTAGATTTTGAAACGTCTAGCTAATTTAAGCTGTTCTTTCCGCGTCCTTAATCAAAACTGGTCACGGCCTATCATTTGATTTCAAAATTTGTCCTTATTATGACTTGAGCGTGGCGAGGGTTTCTACAATTATCTTATATCAAGTAACGGGCTAAGCATGTCGTGCAAAACTTAGAAAGAGCTCACCATTTTCGGCTGCGAAGGAGGCGCTGAGGCAGACCAGCAGAAGGTGAACCGCGCCGATCATGGCGGAGCGTCGGCCCGTGCCGAGATGTCGAGTGTGGTGTCGGTATCGATGGCGGGAGTCTATATATGCCTCGCTGAGCCACCCACCCACCCACCACGTCAGACGCTCTGTAATGTGGGCCCTATCCTACACCTACTCGGCCAGGCAGCTCTGTCAGTCACCACCGACTACCATAATTACTACAATTGACGATATGTGTGTTGTGTGTGGGTTGGGGAACATGAGTGGTTATTCGTATCCGAGCAAATGTCGGTTTTTCGCTCTAAAGCTACATGCCTATATGTCATCCTGACGATTCAGTGAGTCTGCTACATGTCCATCATGTGGTGTCTCGTATAGACGAGTCGTGATGTTTGACATTGATGGTTGATGCTCTTCGCACAATGCTATTCCACCAGGGCCCAATGTTATAAAGGGCTGCTGTTTTATTCAAGGCAATTGGTAGCATGTAAAATGATACCGTGTTTGCGAATGCGTATCGGAGTCAACGAAACGATTCCTGTGACCCTCACTAGAGGATGGACTGAAATTAGTGAAAAACCATTTCGCAATTAATAACTGTTTTCTGCAACTGAAGTTCAGCCAGTGCTGCCGCATCCATTCCACGACGCTCATTATATGATAAGGCTTAGGTTCACTTTTGCGCATTGTTTTATGGTAGCGAATCCCAAAAATGCAGCAAAAGAAAACGTTTATCCCTTCATGCAAGTCCTTATATCCTGCGCCGTTTGGAAGTGGGGCGTTTTTACGCCTATCTTAAGTTTTTCGCGAATATGTTAAAATGACGGTGATCCGCGTCACCTTTTTTTGGTGCACCTTATCATGCATATTTTCTGCAAATGTTGCCAAAATTCCAGACCCAGGTCGTTCAAGGTCAGGTCACAGGTTGCGTCAAGTGACCAAACCTCAGAAAAGGTTCCAATGCCCGCTTTACCGACTGAACGATCGCTTTAAAACGTTCAGTGATTGATAAGAGTTATATGCAGTATGCACTATGCATGAAACTTATACCTCATAATTTTGAAATCGGTGACCTAATGCCAGCTCAATTTTGCTACATCTCCAATATAAGTTAGTGGGAGAAAATTGGCAGGCGCCTGTTTTGGACGAATGTCAAACTAACCACACTGAAACATCAGATAGAAGGTAAAAATGACGCACTTAATTGCAAAATTCCACCCCATCTTTACACTATTAACCCGGCACCGCCTGGGCTATTTCCGTACCCACGACAGCCTGGGGGGGGGGGGGTCGGATCCGACCCTCCCCCCTGGTATCTCGAGAACCAATGGTCGTATCGAGCCCCGCGAGGCGGCGTTCGAAAGGTCTCTACGAGACCTTCCCAAAGCACTCTTAAGATTTTAAGATTGAGGTCAACTTTCGGGTCAAGGTCAGGTCAAAGGTCAAATTCAGGGGTTTTGCATGATTAGGCTTACGGACAGCAGAATCGATAGCTGCTGCTCGAAACTCACCACAAATGACCTCGAAGACCTAGTGAAGGTACCATGTGCGTATAGGGGTCATACTAAGTGCGGGTCAAGGTCAGGTCAGGTCACGAAAGGTCACGGTTTTCACTTTTTGCTACATGGGCGTGCGACACATGTTTTATGGCTTATTTTTCACGCCAAATCCGATGATAATGGTTATATGTGACCCCAAGTCACTGTGCTAGTGATAAGTGTGCATTGAAAGCATAAAAAATCGTTTATACCATACATAACTAAACGAGGGCTGAGAAAAAAAGGTCAATTTTTCAACTTTAAAATGCACTTTTCTAGACGAGCTTTGTCCCAGGAATCTAGTGGTGCCATTTGTTTTCACATGCGATGTTCAGAAGTGCCTCTAATTCGCGACAATGCTTATGACGTCACCATGCCCTATGCATGTTGGAGCTATTTTTTACAATTTGGGGGTCAAAAATCAAGATAGAAAGTTGAAATTTGGGACATCTAATGTTCTAATAGAGCTCTATAACATATATTCCGGTTTTTTGGAAATTCTCAAAATATTGGATTTTATTAGCTGTTTTCCAAAAAATTTAGTTTTTTGAATTTTTAGGGGTGCAAAACGCATTTTATGGAAAATCCGAGATAGCCATTTTAAAGAACTCGTTGAGTTGCGTCTTTTCATGTCCTTAATTTGCAATTTGCTTAAAACCTCGATTTTTGGCGATTTTTTAAACATTTACCATTTTTTGACTGAAAACGCCATGTAGTTACATCACTAAAATCGATATATCTCAAAAATTTTGGAAAATTTTTCTTAAAACTTTCACAGGAGACGTCAAATTGATGGGGGAGAAGGTATGCCAAGTTTCAAGTTGATAGCGCAAGCGGTTCATGAGTTATTTAAGAAAAACGGAGGGGGGGGTCGGATCCGACCCCCCCAGGCGGTCGCGGGTTAAGGTCATTTCAGGTCATGAAAGGTCTCCAGCAGTTTTTGACAATAACTTTTGCTAGAGGCATACTAGAGCGATGCAAGCGCCTTGCACGTGTTCAGCTCGACGATACAGATCGACTTCTATGCAGCATGACCTTTTCCGGTGTAGTCATGACCTTGAACTTAGGTTGAATTTTCAAAATGACCTTTCATGGTCAAATAAAACTTCATTCGAAGCGTCTCGACAAGAGAAACACGATCCTGATAAAAGCATTGTCTTGCCTTCCTTGAGTTAAAATGTATTACAGGAAACATTTTTTCGTAAAAACGGCTATTTCAAGAGTTTTTCTCTGCAGGCTGATCTTAGGTCATATCTATCTGAGAGATTGCTCCAGAACGAGAGCGTGAAAAGAGCTATCGAATGTGCTCTTCTGCGGCGCTGTGTCTATATTCATTCCCGCGTTATGTGCCAGCTTGTCGAAATTCGTCGAATTCAGCGAAATTTGACGTTTAGATTTGATAAACTCTGGTGACCTGACCTATGACCGAACCTAACAATGACTGCAATACTTCCTTCACTATCGTTGAAGCTCTTTCGAATGTCGCATGCCGCGTGTCGCTACGTAGCCAATTGGAGCCGAGTTAGACGGGTGGAGGGGGGGGGGGGGGGGGGCCTGAAAACGCTCCCCCAGCACTGATGGGAAATGCAGACCAATAGCACGATGCGGGTTATCGTGCATATTTTGGCCACATTGCGGGAATTTGGAGGCAGTAGGGCTCAGACTGAAAGATATAAGGTCTGCTGATCAATATCATGCTGACATGTTTTGAAAGCTTAACCCGCGCGGGGCTGGGGTCTCCAGCCGAACGCGCGGGGCTGGGGGGGGGGGTAAATTTTACCCCCCCCCTGTTATCTCCCGAACTAATGGTCCGATTTGGAAAATTCAAACGCCAATCGAAAGCTCTCATCACGAACTACTAACAACATGTACTTAATTTAAAGTTTGAGGTCAAGGTCAAGGTCAGGTCAAGGGTACAAATTGCAAATTTCTACAGTATCGGCCTTGCACCGTAGTTGCCGAAGAATGGAGTCATGGACTGAGACTGATCGCCCAAAACGTGTTCTTAGGTTACCAAGACAATATTCGTTGCATACAATATCATTCAGAGGTCAAGGTCAAGGTCAGGTCAGGTCAGGTCAGGTCACCAAAAAACAAAATATAGAAAAGGGCATGTGCGACACATGTTTTATGGGTCTTTTTACTCATAGAATTCAATAGGCACACTCAATAAGTGATATGGACCACCTCTGGATGAATTTCAGGTCGAGGTCAGGTCAAGGTCAGGTCAAGTGAGGTCAAATTTTGAAGTTGGTTGTTAAGGCTTAAAAAGGTGTCTATCTGATGCAGTTTTTCACGGCGAATCGAATGGTGCTATTTTGTTTCCGTACGAGGTCTAGAACTTCCAAAAAAGTCATTTTTCAAAAATTTTGTGTGTCGTGACGTCATAAAATTTTGAATAACTCCCACATTTTTGAACCGATTCTTCTGAAATTTGGTATGTAGGTGCACATAGAACGCTTCTCTGACATATATTCCGGTTTTTTTCGATAGACTCAAAATTTTGGATTTTATAATGATTTTCCCAAAAAAGTCAGTTTTTTGAAAAAAATTTAGGCCAAAATCCAAAATTTTCAAAAAACCGAGATAGCCATTTGATAGACAAAGTAAAATTACGTATAACCTTTTTTGTTACGTCTTGATTCCTTTAAAAATGAAGATGTTAGCGGCGTTTGAACTTTTGCCGTTTTTGAGGCGAAAATGGCGAACATGACGTCACTAAAACGTCAATTTCTCAAAAAATTTCCGACGGATTTCGCTCAAATTTTCAGGGAATGTGTCAAATTGATGTAAGAAAAGGTACTGAAAGTTTAGCGGCGCTGCGCGCCGCCGTTTTTGAGATATCGCAAAAATTCGCGAGGGGGGGTAAAATTTACCCCCCCCCCAGCCCCGCGCGGGTTAACTCTCGCCGGCACAATGGGCAAAAAGTGGCCGATCGCAACGAATTTTTTAGTACCATCGCATTGATCAATTTTACACCCACCCTGAAAGCTTCATGACCCTGCCCCAAATGACCTTTGACCTGTAACCTATTTTCCGAGACCATGTTTGGCCGGAATCGCGATTCGGCGTATGTCGGCTCGCATTAGCCGCGCGTTTGCTTGCAGTCTTTTCGTGGTTTCAAGCGTTCAAATATGTGAGTTGATGTTGCTCCCATGCATTAGGGTGGATGTCAAGGCCACCAGGAGGTCAGGTCAGGGCATTGACCTATGATGACCTCGGTTAAGTTTTTCGAGTCTTACGTATTTCTAGCCTAGTTTTTTTTTTAGCTGAATTCGAATTAAGCAATCATTTGAACATTTACGAAGTAGTTTTGGTGCCTTCGTTACATGTTATGAAGCTGTCAGAGGCGGTTGACACTTACTACGAATACCCGGCAGGACCCTACAGGTTGACCTGACCTTACCTGACCCGACCTGGCCTAAATGCATAAAGACATCATCTGTGTTTATGGATTTAAGCCAGGTCGGGTCAGGTCACAGTCCAGGTCATTTTTTAGCCGGAAGTGGCCGTTTGTTGATCGGACATTTTCTTTTCTCAGGCAAATGTTTCTGCAAATGAAATATTTTGCATTTTTCTTCTGATCTTAGACAGCATTTGCAAAACTGTCCGACAGCTTAGGTTTGCTTTTCAAATGCGAAAATACCATTCTAACGAATAGTGTTTTAGGCATACAACAAAAAAACCTCAGTGCGTCACCTTATGCGTTATTCTCTCTCGAGGTTAACCCTCGCCCGCACATGGGGGGGGGTGGTTGCCACCCCCCCCCAGGTAGTCTTTCTGCTCTGCACTCAACATTTTTGGAGCTAGAAGGCTGATTTTTCGTATAGCTGCTCCTCTATCCTTTCTGGATGTCCACTGAAAATTTCAAGTTTCTGTGATTTTTGGTTTCGGAGATATGACCTTGTTTTTCAGGTCATGTCATGACCCAAATGGCCAATTCTCAACATCTTGCGTTTGCCATGGGCCTTGTGAGCTTTTGACACCCTGATTTCGGCCTTTTTTGCCAGTCTTACCTCCCACCTATCATGGAACATGTTGTTCGACGATGTACAGGGGTCAAGGTCAGGGTCAAGGTCAACCTAGGTCATGTAAGATAATTGCGTTTTAGGCAAGCTGAATTTACTTTTTGTGAAGTTTTTTGACTGCATTTTTGGTAAAAGCTTCTCAGATCATGATTTCATGTAATATGGACCCAAAAACAATCGGTGCACACATCAGTATACACACAGGCACACACAGACATACAAACACATATAATTGACCTTGACCTAACTTGACCTGAAATGACCTCAGCAGCAAAAATCTGGTCGGGTAGTGTGACAAAGAGGTTCTAGCTGGCTTGGCACCAGAAAACAGCATCGTCATCGGTATTTTATAAGCAGCGCACTTGATATCCAACGGTGACCCAAAACAGCAACATTTTTTAGTTTGACCTGACCTGGAAGGTCAATGACTGACCTGAGAAGGTAAAACTGGGTATCATTGGATTCGTCTCTTCCCAAAGAATCTTTTTGGTCTTTACCGCTAAGCTCTATCTCCAACAGGAACGAAATGGCGCGGGGGGTGGCAACCACCCCCCCCCCCATGTGCGTTCTAGGATGGGAAAATGGCATGTGCGGGCGAGGGTTAATGCCATGACATACTCATGTACCTGCATGATTAATAGAGCCTTCTCTACCGGTATCAATATGTTCTTATTCTGGATCCTTGTTCGGTACAAAATTTATGTTATTTTCCAAACATCCACCTTATTTACATTTGTTTACATCGTACGTTACACGCAATAAATCCAGGTTACCAGAGGTCATCAAAGCTTATTGCCAGACATACACTTTGACCTTTGCAGTCGAACAATAGGTCTATCATTGGACGCGGAAAATTATTTACAACAAAAGTATTGGTATCAATATCCTTATTCCGTGAGTCGCGACAATTTTTTTTTTTTTGCAAAGTTATTGTTGGCCATCATCGTCAACGCCTTTGATTCGCTGACTCAGCAAAACAGTCAGGACAAAGCCAACTCTTTCAAAACAACTTTTCCGAAAAATCTTGTACTAAAATATTGTCATGCATGTTGCTGTTGCACTAGTGTACAACAACGATATATTATAACATATGTATTTCGCTTACACCTGTCCTGAATTTGTTCGTTCACAATCACATCGTTGCCTCTTTTTGACGCATGACCTTACAAAATATAATGTATTTGCACATCATTCATTAGCGGCGAACAGCAGAGCAAATATGCTAGCTATGACCAGGCTTGGAGTGTCACTCCCACCAGCACCCTCCTCAGCATATTTGTTTTCAAAGGACGCGAGATACGCCTACACCCTGTTGCGAAATGGCACTCAGTCACGTGACCCAATGTCTCAGCACAGGTCACCCTCCCTGACACGCCCGGCAGGTTGTCCAACATGGCGCCTGGCAAGTCTTGAATCGGACAAGCAGCTTTTGACTACCATCACGCCTTCTTATCGTACCCACCCTTAGGCGAAGGATCTGGTTTAGGCTCCGGCTCCGGCTCGGGCTCGGGTTCAGGTTCCGGCTCCGGCTCTGGCTTGGGTTCGGGTTCAGGTTCAGGTTTTGGCTGGGGGTCAGGTTTCGGCTGGGGGCTGGGCCCCGACTTCGGGTCGCTGGGGATGTACTGGTCGATGTATTTGGAGCCCTCCTCGGGCTGCGGCGCCGACGGCACCTTCAGCGCCTCCGAGTTGAGGTCGACGGGCTTGACGCGGACCTCGGTCTCGCGCTTGTCGTCGACCCTGAACCTGCCGTCGCCCTTGGAGGAGGCGGCCAGGCCGCTGCTGGTGGACGCCGTCGTCTTCTGGCTGTTGACCAGCTGTACCTGCTTGGAGCCGTCGGCCAGCGTGATGATCGCCACATCTGTGGCCTTGCCATTGGCGCCGGCCTTCTCGATGAGACCTGCGTTACCTCCGGTGGTTCCGGCGCCGCGGGTACCCGTCTTCACCTTCAGACCGTCCTTCGTGGACACCAGCTCTGGAACAGGGACAGCAAGTGGTGGGTCACACGGACAGAGAGCAGCGGAGAGGGAAACAGTGGGCCAGAGAGACATCCTCTACAGCCGAGAGGGAAACAGTGGGCCAGAGAAATATCCTCTACAGCCGAGAGGGAAACAGTGGGCCAGAGAAATATCCTCTACATACAGCCGAGAGGGAAACAGTATGTCAGACAGATATCCTCTCAGGGAACTGGTGGATCCGACAGAGATCGGTCTATCCGAGTAGTTAGGTACTTAAGCCCCATTTCCGTTAAAAGCGTTTGAGAGGTTTCGTCGTGAGGATATCAGCATAACATTCTAAATGCTTTGACCTGGCTGATCTGTTCTGTGTTTCCCACAAAAGTGAGTTGTGGAATGCAATTTTTGCTGGCTTTCTCACGCGTTGTCTGAAGTGTCTTCGCTTGTGTTATTGCCTTATATGGAGACTCATGAAGGGCACTAGCAAGTGTAGTTCGAGTTCGACCAATTTAGAAAAACCGGGCTAAGTGGGAGAGGACCGTCCTCTGCCACCTATCGGCGACACGTCGAACTTCAAGTTCAAATCCATGTTATTAACCCGGCAGTTGCTGGGGTATTTCGCCACCCACCGTTTGCTGGGGGGGGGGGGGCGTTAAACGCCCCCAGCCGATAACTCGAGAACCAGCGAAACGCACGAGGCGGCAAACGAAAGAGCGCGACGAGACGCTTCAGATGAGTACTTTAAAGTTGAATTTTGAGGTCACAGGTCGGGTCAAGGTCAGGTCAAACACCTGAAATCGGGCTTTCAGTAGCATGGACTTCAGGACTTCGCAATGGGCGCCTCTCGTCACAAACTCTGTCAAGCCGGTGCACAATCCATCATATAAAGCCTACAAGAGTGTCCGCTCCATGTAGGGGTCAGTCAAGCATAGGTCAGGGTCAAGGTCAGGTCAACCGGGTAGGCACATATCCCCGAAAATTAAAACTGATATTCGCAGCCTGTGACACATGTTTTATGGGTAATTTTGGGCGTACAACACGATGGTGACATTCATTTTATCATATGTGTACGTGTTTGGCTAAAAAGTTCAATTTAAGAAATGCATGTATCATGGTCGTGAAGTAGTCACGAGAAATTGCCAAGATTCAGTTCAAGATTTTGGAAAATGCGGAACGATAATCAATAATCGAAGATAGCCATTTGATTGTTCATGGTATTGGCAGTCTAATGGCATTTACGGCATGTCTGTATGTCTATTTGGTGATTTTATATGATTTTTTGAACATGTGCCGTTTTTGGTCGAAAACTCAGAAATCATGACGTCACTAAAACCTCGATATCTCAAAAATTTTCCAACCGATTTTTTTGAAACTTTGTCACAATAAACTTCAATCAATTCCCTACAGGTACCCAAAATTTAGCGCGCCTGCGGCGCGCCGTTTTAATGCTATGGCCCGGCGAAAAAGTGGGGGCGTTTAACGCCCCCCCCCCCCCCCAGCAACTCGCGGGTTAACAGGCTGAGAGGGCCATTGCATACGTTAGAAGTATTGAGCTTATAACACCATGCTACAAGCTTTTGAAACAAAAATACTCAGCGTACTGAACCATCCAATAAAAAATTCTACTCTATTCTTCCACAAACAATACAGCAAAAAGATACTTGAAAACTGGATATTATTTGCGTTATATGCCGCCAAGGGCGAGACCGGCACAAAAAGTAGGTCAAGGTCACTTGCTTATTGAAGCAGGGTAATCGTGCATGAGAGGAGTGAACTATTTTACATTTCATTACAGGCGAACTGAGCTCAGTTAAAGCCTGACAATCGATTCCAGTTCTCTCTTTGTAACAGGGCAGAATACGTAAGCAGTGTTATTGTAACTCAGTATCATCGAAAAAAAAATCCATGTATCGAGCTGATTTTTTTTTTACTAGCATTTCTTATTTTTCTGAATCAGAAAAACATCGTTTGAGGACCGAACTCGGTGAAAAATATTGCAACCACATTTCATTTTCATGATTCATTTTCATGAGCGATCCACCACTATACAAGCATGGCCGCCAGTTTGGAAGCATGCAAAATTACTACAGAACTGGCGCAGCTAATACATTATTGACGCTACGCTTACGCGGTCGTTCTTCTGATTGAGTTGTCCTTAGGGAGAGGTAGCCTTAGGTATTGCCTATAAAAATATAACGTGACAATTGGAGGGAGTGACTATTGGACGTGACAATTGACAATGGGAGGAAATATCACGTGACAATCACGTGATAAACGTCATACATTGGAGGGAGATTGTGATTCAAGCTGGAGGAATTCCTTTGTTGAGCCGCTAGAATCCGAAGGAAACAGCGGAAATTGCCTACGACTATTTAATGAATTTAACGGTGATGAATAAGTGCGAAAAACGTTTTGGCTTTATAAAATTTGATGAAATGACCAGGGTAAAAGTTTTATTACTGGCGGTCAATTCAAAACGGCGCAAACATTTCAACAGTGAAGATAGTGAAGCACGATTCAAAGTGTGGTACACCTTTCGTACTTTGAGCGGCGATAGCGGGATAACGGTGTGGAGCTTCGAGGATCGGTCTTCAGTTCCCGGACCAGAAAGGTGGGGCCTATGCAATGTCAAATTTCATCAAAATGGTGATACTGCCCCTTTAAGCACAACAGCATCTTCCTATAGTCTCGAGCTATCTTGAGCTGTCATAAAAAACTTTACCTACCTTCTTTACTTTGAGCATGAACTGTACCGAGCTTCGATGTCAGTGAACTTTACTACGAAAAAGTCAAGCTTTCCCCCGCTTTTATCCACATTTCGGCCGGACTATCTGTGCTTTTATGCGTTCCCAACAAACAATTTAGATACACACGGCGTTCTTGACCACCATCTTTCACTGACCCCTTGGTTATGCAGCCTCGACTTCTCCCTCCGTTTCCCCAATGCTATGTTTTCGTCGTTTCCCGACCTCAAGCTCCACCGTTCGCCTAAGTTACCCTGCCTTCCCCTTCGTTTCCTCGTTTTCGAGTTGCCCGTCGTTTACCTGTTGGCCTGACTTCCACTACATTTCCCCGTTTTCGAGCTGACCGCCGTTTATCTGTATCGTCCTGCCGCCCGCCGTTTACCTTTGTCGGCCTGCCCACAGTTTATCTGTGGTAGCCTGTGTTGCCCGCCGTTTACCTGTGTTGGCCTGCACGCCCTGCACGAAGAAGCCGTTGCCGCTGGCGATGCCGTTGCCTGCCACGTTGGTGTTGCCGGCGAAGTCCCTCGAGTTGTTGAAGGTTGGTGACCAGAGGTTGAACCTGGCGCCGCCACCGCCCTGCGTGGAGCCGCTGGCCGTGAGCGAGGAGGTGCCGGTCGTCTTGCCGGTCTGCCGCAGCTGCGAGTCGCTCGAGAGGCTGTCGTCCGGGTCTGTGGGATCGCGTGCTGCCGGGGACGGGAGGAGAGACGGTCAGCCGCTAATGGTTAGTGATAAAACGATACATGGCGATATCAGCTTCTGTTAACTTGACCCTGGGCAACACAAGCTTTTCAATTAGAAGACATATATTGCAACAAGAGGCCTTTCTTATGAAATAGAAATGAACTTCCTGCTAGTCCATTTAACGTGTCAAGCACATGACAAAGGAATGGACTCCCCACGCAGCACCTGCTGTATAACCCAAGTAGCGCTGACGTGGCATTGACATCAGACTAACGCAATTCCTTACCAACTTCTCACCGGGGCTGGACGCAGGATCTCACCTGGGTTGACGCGGCGCAGCTCGGTGCCGCCGACGTTCTCGACGCCGATCGATCCGGAGCCCCTGGTGGCGCTCTGGTGACCGCTGGAGGAGGAGGCGCCGGCCTTCTTGTCGACACTGACAGCGATCTCGTGGCCCTGGCCCGGCTGTGTGAAGCGGACTGCCTGGGCGCCCTGGAAGCCAACGTTGGCGCCCGCCTTCTGCACGGTACCGGCGTTACCCTTGGAGATGGACTGGCCCTTGGTACCGGTCACCACCTGGGCGCGCTTCGTGCCCTTCGAGCCGGCCTCTGGGGAGGTCCGCACAGTTAGAGGGTTAACGGCTCTTTCATCGATGGATTAGACGATCCGATAAAACGAAGAAGTAGGTTTGCTAGAGGTCGTATAACACATACTAACAACAGAACACAATATATACTATACTTCTTCGCCAAATGATTTCAGCACTTCAAGTTATTTCACAATGGAGACAATCAGCACCAACTCATGTCCATCTCATGCCCCAGCCCTTCCAGTTCTATTCTGTTCGCTGAGCCGGGTGGGCCCGCGCCCGTCGCTGGGCACGCGTGGGGGCGGCTGGCTGCGCGAGACAATCCGAGACACGGCGGCGGCGGTAGTGGTAGTGATACTGGAGATAGTGAAGAGGTCGAGATTTGGCGCCTCGAGATAAGCCCATGGCTTTTGCGCCAACTCTCCGTGATACGTACTCGATGTACCTCATGTACTATGCCAATAAACTCCGTGTGTGTGTGTGTGTGTATGTGTTCTTTTTCTTGCCACCCTTCACATGGATTGTTACATGGATTCAATTCTCGTTGGTTCCTCCAGTCAACTGTCAGCACTATTTTGGTGCTGCTTCCTACCCTTTTCCCCATTTCTTCCCATCCCAAACATTATCCCGCTCTACTTTTACTCCCTTCTGCACTTTATCCAAAATCTTACCGCAGCTATTCGTCACCCCATCCTCTATTCCTTTCCATATGAGCTCCTTCCCACTCCCCGCTCACCGGAGTTGGTCTGCGTCTTCTGCCGGAAGCCACTGTCGCCGATGGACACGCCACTCCCCGACACGCCGCTGTTACCCACGGCGCTGAGGTCCAGCTTGTACCCCTCTGTGGCCAGGCTCAGCGCGCCCGTCACCGCGCCCTGCGACGAGCCCGTCGACGATACCGACGCACCGCCGCTGGTGGTGCCCGACTGAGACTGGCGCGACTTGATCTCGAACCCGAAGTCGGGCTTCAGCTGACCCGAGTCCTCTTTGGAGGGAGCAGAGGTGGTGGACGGCGGCGGAGGAGGAGGCTGCTCGACGGTCTTGGGGTCCACCGGTAGCGCCGCTGTAATGGGGGTGTCAGTAAATGGATGCTCATTGCTCAGGGTATGATTGCTGTATGGTTGATACTTCTCATGCCATATAATTACAATATATGTTGTTAGGTTTAAAGATGTTCTCTTTCACTTCACATGCAACTTGTTTCTTAGACGATTCATAGAATTTATTGCGAATGCTGAACAGCATCAAACATTGATTAGATTGATGTTCTTTACAAATCAAGGCGTCTGCTAGCAACCATTGTCTCCCTGAGAACTTTTCACCGCTACACGGTGACCTGACCTGACCTGACCTGACCTTCCCTGCCCTAGCTCACCCGCGGCTGCGACGGCGGCGCACACGGTCAGAAGGTGGAGAGACAGCATGAGGCCTGCAGCTGTGGTCAACTCGCGGCCCCGAGCGCCGACGACCTTATATAGGCGCGGGCGGTGTCGACCGGCGCCCACCCACTGGCTGTCAGGTTCTGTCCGTGACTGCCACTGCCACAGAGGGCCTCCCAATATGAAACGCACCGCTGACCAGCGCTGACCACCGCTGACGGTAGAACACAGCAGCAGCGCCCGGCTGACACAGAACTCAGTCTCCACTGACGCACAACTGGAGCGACAGGACAGTGGTGACGTCATCGGCAATATTACAGATGATGCAAGCGATCGATTCTGATGTGAGACACTGACAGCGATATGTCGGTATTCAACGTCAACCAGCTCCCAGAGAAAGGTCAAATATTGGATATTTTGACCAGATATGCGTAGGTTTGAATTAGTTTGACGATACGACAACACATGAGTCGCATTTCTTCTGAACTACTTACCTGTTAGGTTATGAGACCGCCTGCCAGCTACCGAAATGCAATCGACTTGAGTCTGCTCACTCGAAACTGTCTGGTCTTCCAGACCTTGTATCTTGCGCGACAGTTTATGAAGCCCACGGTTCTTACAGATGACACCGCTTGCCGGGACGAGCCAAACGGGGAGACTGGGGGCGAGTGTCGGCAGGGCGCCGCATAAAAAGGAGAGCTGTCAGCGTGGGCTGGTTCGGATGACGTTCATGTGGTGTGTCGGGACATTCTAGTCCTAAGAAGAGTGCTGGTTTGACGTCACAGAATGCGTCAACTGGTCGATTGTCATGTCAAGTTTGTATTTCAAAATCCGTATACTTGCAAACACAGCCAAAAGGGCACACAAAAGTGAGTTGCATGATTTTTACTAAAATCAAATTCGGGTCAGTTGGAAAGCAGTTTTATGAACTTAACAACAAAAAAGCATTTCCTCGCTGATACAACATTTAAAACTTTCTCGCATCGGTCAAATAAAGATAAAGGACATTTTCAATTTTCACCTTGCATCCCATTAAAAAGAAAAAATACCAAGATTACTTCTTGTAACCCGCGCCCCGTTGGGGTCTGCCGAACGAGGCCCGTTGGGGGGGGGGGGGGGTCGAAAATCAAGACGAAAGCAGTCATTTTTTAAAGTCTGGTCAAAGGTCTGGTCACCAGAGAACATCAAAAGAAAAATCTTGCCTATGTTTGTCAACACATTTCGAAACTCCGGCGCATAACTCAAGAACCAATAGAGCTGCTGCAGCGCCGCAGAGAAACGCATTCGATAGCCCTTTCAACGCTTTTTCTAAAGACAGTGCTCAGATTTGACCTCAGGTCAACGGTTTAGCCGCCAGAGGCAAAAATTGAAAATAGCTGCCTTTACGAACAGTGTTTTTTTTAATCACTTTTGAGTGTCTCAAGAAACGTCGAGATCTCTCGTCGAGATGGCTCGAATGAACTATGATTTGGACTTAAAAGGTATTTTGAAAATTTGACCTTGGGTCAAGGTAGTGACCTGATCGGAACGGGTCATTTTGCATATCAGTAGATCCGCATTGTCGACCTGAACACATCGAATGTGTTTTCATTCCTCTAGCATGTCTCCATAAAAAAGTTATTGTCAAAAACTGCTGGGGGCCTTTGATGACCTAAGATGACCCCAGGGAAATGGAGGGGTCATGGTTGCAATTTTTCGATTTAGCTGTCTATTTTAACTGCAACCCGATGTTTGAGTGTTTGGAATGACGTTCGTCCAAAAGAGCCGCCTTTCGATTTTCTCCTATTTACTCAAAAAGGAGAGGGCGCAAAATTGACCTGACCGTAAGTCACCGATATCAAAACTCCGAGATAAACATTTTATAGGTACATACTGCTACTCGTACCAGCCGCTGAAAGTTTCAAGACAATCATTCAGTCGGTGTAGCTATGACGAACATTCAAGTTTTTCTGAGGTGAGGTGTCTTGAAGTGACGTAGTGACTGGACCTTTAGCGACCTGGGTCTGAAATGTTCATGACATGTGCGGAAAAGATGCATTGACAGGTGTGCCAAATACGGCCGCCGTTTTTTAGATATCCGCAAAAGACCGCAATGGGGTGTCCGAACACCTCCCCAGCCCCGGCGTGGGTTTAAAAAAAGGTGCTACTTGATGTTCGGTTGGGCAGGGCTTAGGATGATGTCACAGATTGGTATTTGCACGGGCGCAGCCAGGCTGGTCCTCCCTCCCCCCCCCCGGCCTTGATGGTCAGTGATACGTGATTTTTATTTTTCTTAAGAAATTTATTTTTTGCAGCTTTACAAAATAAAGTGGCCGAAATCCGGGGAGAAAATAGGATTTGGGGGTAGGTTAGGTTCCGCGGGCCCTATCCTAGCGAAAACCCTAATGAGCATTTGCCCTCCCCCCTTTCAGCTGACCCTGGATCCGCCCTTGCTTGCAGGTTGCCGGTATTCTGTACCTCGTTTTCTGTTAAAGGCAGCTCCTATACCTATGCATTGAAATATCATTATAAATCTTATAATTCGCTTTGGAGTTCGGAAATCCTTTGTCGACATGTCTAGCATACAAATATTTCCGCGTTGTCCGGCTGTTGTCATCCGTCCATTCATCACTTAGGTAGAAGGCGCCGTCATGACAAGGTAGCTTTGTTCCAGCCCATGGGTTCTGGAATATTTGTGCATGTTTTTCACTTGAACTGAAAAAGTAGGCATGCTATGGCAATCATAGTGCAATCCATAACATCTTAATTTCGCTACTTATGTGGTGAAAATGGACATGAATTTGGACTGCTCCATTCTGCTCGTCAGTTAGCAACTTTGTGACAAGTTTGCTCCCTTTGACAACACATCCCGGGAACCTTCAGTGGAATCACAATTTACAGTTCACACCTTTTGTGACTGGCGAATGAAGGTCACATCTCCGGGTCATCGGCCCCGCCGAGTGACATTTAGCCACGTGTCCGCACTCTACACCGGCCTATCTCAATTTCGGAGGTGTCTTTGCCGCCAAGCGACTAGCTTTTTTGATTCTTGAACACTCAAAACACAGGTTTATGCTAATTGGCTTATCTTTCCGTATTCATGGGAAAATGAGCACGGATCCAACTGACAGCTCATTGCTTGACTCAGTGCTCGTTTTCCGTGGTATTTAACCAGTGTCACGCATCATCACAGTGTACGATAGACTACTATGCCGGTCTGAGCACGGTGACATTGCCTCCCACACAGGTATCGGTAGGATTGTGATTGCAGGATTGCAAAATCCTGATTGCATTCCTTTTTGGTGGATTGCACCTGGATTTGAAATCCATTCCAAAAAAACAGGATTTGATTGCGGATTGGATTGCATCATATTTCCAATTTTTGCAATCCAATCCGGATTGTGTTTGATTAGTGCTTTGAAATGGTTTGTTGCGATTGAAAATTATGAGATCGGCTACATCGGCTTAATGTACTTTGCTATCAAGGGCTTTACATCGAAACTTGAAATAATTTAAACGCTTTTAATTTAAACGCTCAAAATAATATACGCTGATGAACTACATAGGAAGGGGAAAATTACGTATTTGAGGGCGAGTTTTAAAAATATAAAACACTGGTTGGGTAGAGGTTTAAATGTGAGGGTGTTTGAGGCAAAAAATATTTCCCATAAAATACCTGTGCCTTAGATAGGAATTACTCGCAAGGCTAGGTACTAGAAATGGGTGATTTGAAGATGGAGGCACGGCCCTATGCCCCCCTCCCTCCCCCAGATCCACTAGTGCACATAATGATACAACAGGATTGCAAAAAAGGATTGCGGATTTGATCACAATCCAAGTGAAAAAAGGGGATTGCGGGGAGGAATGCAATCCACTTCGGCACTAGGAATGTGGATTGGGAATGCAATCCTTTCAAAAGGGATTTTCCCGATGCCTGCTCCCACATACCGCTCTGCTCCCGCGGGCCGTGCGGCGGACGGGGGCGGACGACCTTTCAGAGACTCGGTCCCCGCAGAGGTCACGTGACTACCACTGGTCACGTGACTGACGGCCGCGCCGGGCGGGAGGCGGGAGTGGATCAGAACTGTCAGTTTACGAGGCACGACCGTATCACCAAGGGGAGCACTCCCGACAAACACTAACAGCGGCGTCACCAACACCACTGGTGCTAGTGGAGTGAAGCCAGCACCACCGTCGCTGCTGTACCACGCGTTTGGTGCCGCCGTTCCTCATTTCCTGGCACTCAGCATGCAGAGGCCCTGACAGATCCTGGGTGCCAGAGAGGCCCAGTCCCGAGCTGACGTGATGACGGGGCACTCGAAGGGAGCGATGGCGGGTCATTTAAAGGTAGTGTGCCACCTTTGAAAGATTTCCCATTTTATTTTTCCTAGGATAAGAAGCTTCTGTTTTTACCTAATATCGCAAAAAAAAAATCAAAAATGGGCCTGGAATAGTGCCTTTTTCGCCTAAAAGTTTATCGGTTTTTAGATATGTATAACAACTGTAGTGGGCTCACCTGCAAACAGGCGTCGGGCAACAATCGCGAATGCGGCGCACTTGTGACAATAAGCAAAGGTCATTATAGTGTTACGACCATACGACGTACGGGAATGAGTTATCAGCTGTCTAATCGTAGACAACACAATGTCGAGCCTTAAACTGTAAGCCCGTATTGGTATTGTTTCTTTTATTTGGTTGTCGAACATTATTTATGGTTTGATATATGATTTTATGTAAAATAATTGATATGAAAAAGCCGTCTTATAAGTTATGACCCCATTTCTCCACACGCAAGTGGCAGAAATGACAATGATCAGCTGACGCATTTTTCTTGGCCGAAGTCAGAGCGCGCAGCCCGACGCACCGCCACCGCACCACAAAGTATGAGCAGAAGCCGCGCCCAAAGCCAGGGCCCCGGTAACGTGAGGTAGCCGAGTCGGGGCAGCCTGCGCTGACCCAAGCCGGGGCCGCAGCTTTGGGCGCGGTCTACCGCATCCCCGCGGGCAGCCCCGGGCTATCACATGACACCGGGAGGACGCGCGGCTCCGGCTTGGGTCAGCGCACGCTGCCCTGACTCGGCTACCTCACGTTACCGGGGCCCTGGCTTTGGGCGTGGTCTACCGCACCATAACAGGCGTGTTCGAAACCGCAGGAGCTGATGATGAACGGGTTTATCGAAACTTGATTGGATGAGCATATCGGTAATAGCGATTTCAGTGTGTGCATTTATTGTTCATAGTGGTGTGAAATGTGGTTGGGGTACGACCGACAACCCGTCGGGGCGAATTTCGCACTGGGGTACTCAAAATTTGAAGAATTTAAGACGTTTCCATGAGTTTTGAAGGTATGGATAAGTTCTAAAAATCCGGTTCTCCTTATCTGGGCCATTAACTCCATACGGTCCAAGAAAGCTGGCACACTACCTTTAAAGAGAGGTGGCGATTCAAGGTAGCACACCGTTCCGTGCTTCTATCCTCAGGATACTGAAATCCTTCTCCTCCACGCCGCAACCCTCCTCCGGGCTGGACAGGCAACTTTATCTCATGCGGGCTGCTCCCTTGGAGCGGCACCGCTGCTCCCGAGGGAGCGCACCCCGTAGCCGGGTGCAGTGAGTGCCTTGGGGCTGGGTGGCCTGTCCTCTGGACGGGTTCAGCCCCGGCGACTCACTAGGGTGCCTGCCCAGACCAATGTCTCCCCCTATATCCTATCATCCTCCCGGCTCTGAAATGGTCTTATTGGACCGAAAGGTCCTAACCCAACAAAAAAAAAACAAGGTAGCACCCTCACCAGTCATTTTTTTTAGGTGAAATGATAGTTTTTCTTTTATTGTTCAAACTTGCAATGTAGCAAGCTACCATACAACTATTAAGTTTGGTTCGACGGCATTCTGCTGTCGAAATGTGTGCCTAATCACTTCAGCTGTTCACATTTTGCTACACTTTCATTACGTATGATAAAAAACAGCTATTGCCTCTTTCAGTCAAGCCGATACGAATCATTTCAAACATCGCTTGTGTCTTCTTTCAAAGACTGTCATGTAATAAAATCTGCACTTCATAGTTCATACGTGCTACATATTTTGTCTCGCGCATCAGCAGGATAAGTAAAAAGAAACATCCACAAATCTAATTTCGTCTTTCATCACCCAACTGCTTCATCGTCACCCTACCTCATCATCTATGCCAGACATATGTTTTATCCTTCAAATAGCCGTTTGATTGCTATTAGCCGAGCACTTTTCATCCCGTCCTGCCCCTCCACTCCACCTCTATAACGGCGCTGAATGAGCGGCGCCGCGCCGGCTGGGCGTCTAATTTGTCTCCGGGCAGCCAACACCAACAACTAATCACATTTGCTGCGATGCGTTGTCGCTGCTGATCTGCTCGGCGACTGGCGTTATTAGCTCTAAGTCGTCGCTAATAGCCACTGGTCGGCGTCGGCGCGGTGCCGGCCGCCCCGCCGCGCACGGCACGTGACACGGCCGGGGGGCGCGTGAAATTCGACCGGCTGCCATTGTGGTCGAGCCGCTCTCTGCTGCTGTCAGGTGTCCTCTCCCCTCCCTGTCCGCCGGTCCCCTCCCCCCGGCGGGCCGTGCCGAGGCGTGCCCTCTCACCCTCTGCCCTACCCGTGCTCTGTCCTCCCGGACCTCGTCGTCGCCGCCGCCGGCTGCCTGCTTAACCTGATCCAGACGTTAGGCGCGCTAACCAATTCAATAACGGCAGCTGTGATCGCCAATCAGCGCCTATTGAAGCGCGCCGCCGCCGGCGAGTGGCGCAAAGTGCCGGCCAATGGGCTGATAAAGATCTGAGAAGCGGCTGTCGCGACGAAATGTGCCGAGCTGGCGACAATTGACCGGCTCGAAATCCGTCCGCGGCGGCGGCGGCAGGCCCGGCGGCGCCGCGGGCGACGGAGTGACGGCAGAGGGCAGGGGATTAGGGAGAGCAGCGGCAAAACGGAGCAAAGGTGAAATGTCACAGCGATGGGGTGCCATAATGTCGATGTGTAGTGAATTACCTTCACAAGAAAAGTAAATATCCTAAGCTACAATTTATGAACATCATTCGCGAAATATTTTATGGAACTTCCAGGAATGCAGTCAGGATCACTCTCAGTCTAATAAAACGCTTGAATTTCGGCGTTGGTGCACGTTCGCACTGAATAGTGCTGCACTTTATTTCCGAAGCTCGAGCTGACTGTAGTCCGTGGAACAGTGCGCCTGTCAGGGCCGCCCTTTGTGACGGCTGTGACGGCTGGCGGCCGTGACGCAGACGTGACGAGAGTGACGCGCCGGTGACGGTTCCGAAGCGCGCCGACCGGAGGGACCCGGATGTATCCGGCAGAGACCAACAGGTGGTATTTATCATAATCAGGATACCATTTTCATACCCATTTATGGAGGCTGAAAAGTGAAAATGAAAGTGGAAAATTGCAAAATGCAACAAAAAACATCGATGACTCACAGCATGTAGTGTTATTGTGCTTTATGATGGGATAGTTAGATATGATGTTGATGATCCTCTTGAAACATTTTTCTTTGATTTTTAGCCATTTTCTTCTTTACATAATCAAGAGTAGGTAAGCACTGCCAGGTTTAATTATTGTGTTCGCTAATGGTTCCTTCGTTTGAGGATTGTGCGTAACAAATATTGTGCAAGAAAAGCAGTTAAATCCGTTTGATTTATTCAGCTTTCATTCGTTTCACAGTACCAACATTGCACGAATAACTTCGCTTAAATAAACTGCAGGCTGTTGGCCTTTCGAGCAAAACGTATTACAATATTATCATATCGCACCATACACACCACATGAATCATTCACAAATGAGCGCGTAAACGAGTCCCGTAGAAATCCCCTCCTTATATTGTACGGGTGTGATCAAACTGACACTTCTAACTCATCGACTATCAATCGGAGACTAGAGGGTGCATCACAAGCGCTAGTGTAGCACGAATCAAGAGAGTATTGAGAATGGCGTTACACCTGTATAAAATAGGCTTTATTCTTTTTTTGGCGACCTTTACTCCCAATATCAAACATATTGGGGCTTTTTATGTTAGAAGGATGCCTTCCACAACGGACATCACCGTACGCCGTACGCGATATTCGATGCATCAACCAATACTTAAACTTTGATGCGTAGTTTGCTCTATCTGAACTCGTTTTACAATCAAAAATGCTTCTCCAGTTCTTTCTCCAGTTCAAATCGTGCACCTTTTTCTATATGCTGGCTTATGCCAGCATATAAAAAAGCGTCATGCTAATAAAAAAATGAAGCGTCAACAACAAAACGTCGTCATATAGCAAAACGTCATGCAAAAAATAATCATTGAGAGCAGCCATTGCCTGCTGAGCACTAGTACATATAACACCGTCCGGCCCACGAGCGCATTTGGAAATGTGGAGAATGATGGTCCACACTCTGGACATGGAGCATTCAACGCTCTTCTTCACAGAGCAATGAGTCAACGATAGAAATAAACGAACACAAAATCGCACGCAGAGTTCTTGCTTTCTAAGAACCGCCTGTTTCATGTGAACCACAACAACAATGCAATACAAGCCTCCAATAGCTAAGCTAATCACTCACCAATTCTTTGGTTACGCTCTTAGGAAGAGCACCAAGCATTCCGTATTTACACAATTTCACCATCAATATTGCACGTGTGCGGCGCAGCTGGGGAGCGTCATCAGCGGAACACTGGGTGACAGTCCTCTGTGACATCGATGTCGCCCTCGCTGTCCTCTTCTCGGTCCTCCTCTTCCTCCTCTCCTCCTCCTCCTCCGGCTGAGGGGAGGAGCTCCGAGGGAGAGCCCTCCCGGCCCAGGTCTGCAACACGACAAAGGGTCACCACGCTAACAAAGACAACGCTTAGAAGGAAGCATATCATCACCGTTACTCCGTCTTCAATCAACATTTCAAAATATATTCAGTTCTTTATTAGGTTTACTTATTCATTTATTTCAGTAATTCATCTCATCATATGATGAATTTCAGTCATTCATCATAGTGTACCAGGTAGGATAATGGTAAATGATGAGAAACGACCACGCACAAAGGTTGAGCTGGGACTCGGCGTGGTCCAGGGACGGTGGCTTGTCGTCCGACCGCCTCAGCTGCTTTTTGTACTTCATCCGCCGGTTCTGGAACCACGTCTTCACCTGTAACGGGAGAAAACAGCATTGTCAGCTTATATAACGTTACGTCTGGCAGTTTTTTATGACAAAGTCCACCAACCGACTGGAAATGCACCGACCAAATGAGTCTGACATTTTGTATGCTGTGTCCCAACTCCTAGTGGCTGCTGTGATGCTGACCTGTGTTTAAGTGAGATTGGTCTGTGTCTTGGTGGGACCCATCTGTGTCTCGGAGAGGCTGACCCATGTCTCCTTGAGGCTGACTTGTGTCTTGGCGAGACTGACCTGTGTCTCAGCTTAGTGTGACTTACCTGGGTCTCTGTGGGGATGACCTGTGTATCAGGAAACTGAGCTTTGTTTCGGTGGAACTAATCTTTGTCTCAGTGAGGAGTTCACCTGTGTCTCACTACCTGTGTCTCAGTGAGGCTGACCTGTCTCTCACTGAGACTAGCCTGTGTCTCAGGTAGACTAACCTGTGTCTCAGTTAGGCTGACCTGTGTCTCACTGAGACTGACCTGTGTCTCACTGAGTCTCACCTGTGTCATCTCACTGAGACTCACCTGTGTCTCGGTGAGGCTCAGCGCCGAGGCGAGCTCCACTCGCTCAGGCGTGCTCAGGTAGCGTTGCGACTTGAACCGCAGCTCGAGCCCACTGAGTTGCTGGTCAGAGAACACGGTGCGGGCCTTCCGGCGGCGGCAGACGCGGCCCACGTCCGTGGAAAAGTAGGTGGAGAACGGCAGACCTGCCGGGCGGTAGAAAAACACACTGTCATTCATGTAAAACCGAAGAGAAGTCAAAATGAATAACATATCGATTGTGCTCTTACGCTTTTCGTTTGAATCATGGTAAAAATAAATCTGCGATTATGTTAAAACGGTAGCTTAGGCTGAGCTCCTTAACCCTCGCCCGCACATGCCATTTTCCCATCCTAGAACGCACATGGGGGGGGGGGGTGGTTGCCACCCCCCCGCGCCATTTCGTTCCTGTTGGAGATAGAGCTTAGCAGTAAAGACCAAAAAGATTCTTTGGGAGGAGACGAATCCAATGATACCCAGTTTTATCTTCTCAGGTCAGTCATTGACCTTCCAGGTCAGGTCAAACTAAAAAATGTTGCTGTTTTGGGTCACCGTTGGATATCAAGTGCGCTGCTTATCAAATACCGATGACGATGCTGTTTTCTGGTGCCAAGCCAGCTAGAACCTCTTTGTCACACTATCCGACCAGAATTTTGCTGCTGAGGTCATTTCAGGTCAAGTTAGGTCAAGGTCAATTATATGTGTTTGTATGTCTGTGTGTGTCTGTGTGTATACTGATGTGTCAACCGATTGTTTTTGGGTCCATATAACATGAAATCATGATCTGAGAAGCTTTTACCAAAAACGCAGTCAAAAAACTTCACAAAAAGTAAATTCAGCTTGCCTAAAACGCAATTATCTTAGATGACCTAGGTTGACCTTGACCCTGACCTTGACCCCTGTACATCGTCGAACAACACGTTCCATGATAGGTGGGAGGTAAGACTGGCAAAAAAGGCCGAAATCAGGGTGTCAAAAGCTCACAAGGCCCATGGCAAACGCAAGATGTTGAGAATTGGCCATTTGGGTCATGACATGACCTGAAAAACAAGGTCATATCTCCGAAACCAAAAATCACAGAAACTTGACATTTTCAGTGGACATCAAGAAAGGATAGACGAGCAGCTATACGAAAAATCAGCCTTCTAGCTCTAAAAATGTGGAGTGCAGGGCAGAAAGACTGCCTGGGGGGGGGGGTGGCAACCACCCCCCCCCCCCCCATGTGCGGGCGAGGGTTAAAGTATAACGCTTCGTCTCACTGTGCAACATCTGCATGACTGATAAAGAGTCGAACAGTCCCACAAATGTCGTGTCGGCTAAGCTGTCACGTATATACCGACTGGCATCCAGCATACCTGCTGAAAAGCCGGGCGGTCCGGAGAACAAGAATCCGGCGGCGCCGGTCGACTCGGGTTTGTGCAGGTAGTGCGGCAGATACGCCGCGGCGGCGGCGGCGGCGGCCATTCCGGCGCTCATCGCCGGCGGGAAGAGCGACAGCGGGGCGGCGGCGTCATCGGTCGGGGGGCGCCGCTCCGAGTACCGTGACTCGGCCGCCTCCGAGTCCGACTCACACTGGGGGGACGAGCGGGAGTCAGGGGGGGGGGGGGCAGGCCAGAGTGGAAGTCACTCGAGTCCCACTAATACTGCCGGGGACGGGTCAGAGTTTTACTCATACTCTCGGGAAAGGGTCAGAATGGGAGTCACGAGCGACGACATATGAGCTATGATATCTATGATATCTATAAAGACTTAATGCGACAGGCCAGGTGGAGGAGCGAAGACTGTCGTCTGTCGCCCAAACTCTAATGCGACAAATTTCATAGGGGAGCTAATCAAAACAATGATCGGGCAGCAAATGATGGTTGAATGAATAAAGCCTACCTATATTATATCAGACTTTGGACTTATGTCTAAAAAGCAACAGAAGAAACGATTCACTCAAACCGGCTCATCTGGAAGGCTCCTAATGTTTGAAGGAATTTGTTATGCTGTTAATATCTTTATGCGTATATCAAGCAAGGCCATGTATAAAGAGCTACAATAATTCAAACATCAAAGCTACTACAAATGCATCAAATTGGAGCTAAAAGTACATGCTGTAAAGCTTACCGAATCTCCCTTGCCTAAGATGTCCTCGATAAGAAATGACTTCGGCTTCTGGAAGCTGTACTTGAAGTCGTCTCTGGAAGAGCTCATGGCAGGAGTATTATATTCTGCAAAGTAGAAATGAATATAGTTGTAAGACATTTTAAATAAATTTACCAAGTGGCAAGTTGCCATGGAAAGATGGCTCACTTCTACAACCTTGAAATGCAAAAAAAAGTTTTGTTAAAGCCGTGCTATTTTACGCGCTTAGTTTCCCATCGACAAACTACCTAAAAGCTGTACACATGCCTCAAGAATTTATCAGTTTTGCTCAGTCGTTGACGAATGCTGTAGGGCAGGAAAAGAGCAGATACGAAACATTTATATCCCTCAGATTATAATACGCTTTAACCCTCGCACGACCAGGCCATTTCTCATAACACGAACGACCAGGGGGGGGGGGGGTTGTTACGACCCCCCCCCCCCCTGGCGTTTCGAAACGGAAGGTCGTAGAGCTTAGCGGAAAAAAAACAACGGATTGCTCTCAACGAGATCTCGCGATTGGTGGTATATTTTTTGGTCCTAGGTCAACATTTGACCTACTTTTGACCGGTCAAAGGTCAAATTTTCGGAAAAATAGACTTTTTTCAACTTTCGGCGGCTATTGCGGCAAAACGGTGGGAGATATCGACTTGAAACCTTCACTATCGTGTTCCTTGATCAATTCTCTATCGTTTGGTATGTATTTCGTTTCCCTAGCTCTAAAAATGGCGCGTTGGGAGCGCCGGAAGTCGGCAAGGTCACAGTCGGCGGCAGAAATTCGAAAAATCAAAATTTAAATTTTTGAAATCTGATTGTATTTTTGGATTTGGGAGGTCCATTTGCTCCCTATAGAAGCTAATATTGCTGCATATTCCCATTGAGGTGACAAGAATTAGCAAAATAGTGGTTCGAGCGCTTTTCAAAAATAGTACCGGACGCTGTTCCTCTTGTGACGTCATAGCTCCGTGACCTGACCTGACCCGGTCAAATTTCTTATACCATATGATAGCCAATACTTGCCCCAACATGCATGGGAAGTTTCATCACGATCCATCAACCGATGTCCGTACCACCGGCAGGAAACCTCGGGCGTTGGCACTCAGTTTGTGAAAATCCGGCCGGAGGCTGTACCTCTTATGACGTCATAACTCCGTGACCTGACATGACCCGATCAATTTTTTTCGGCAAAAGATGCGCAAAGGTTGCCCCAGAGGGTATTGAAAATTTCAGCCCGCTACGACAAGCCGTTTAGCGTGCACTTCGAAAAAACCTCAGGGGGGGGGGGGGTTGATACAACCCCCCCCCCCCTAGGCGTTCTAGGGTTTTAAGCAACTGGTAATGACCATTTTTTTGTGCATTTTGTGCCTTTAGCCGAGGCCCTAAAACTAGCCTTTAGGCTTTAACAGCCCACTTGCGCATTTTTAATGGTATCCCGATCGGCAGTCAATAAGTCGGTACCCATATATTTTCCATGAGAGGTGGTCACTATCTCGGGATATCACTTTCTCCCGCCGTACTCTAGCCACTGAATGATGAATTATGAGCATCGGATCGTGTTAGCTGTATTACATCGGGCGAGCTAATCGATTGTTATTGACGGTACCGAGGCATTACTGGTTATTATCCTCTTAATTGACGGTTAACGAGGCTGAGGCAATTTGGCCGGATGAGGATCGATATGTCCAGGTCCGGTCTAAACTCGGCGTTCTCTTCCGATATGGATCGACAGTTACGGGCGGATGATGACAGCCCACTCCTTATTTGGGCGGAGATGTGCGGTAGCTCCGTTTCGGGATAGCTCGCGGGCCATTTTTTGTGATAAAAACATCGAATGCGATTAGACTATACTTTATCCAGCGCTGCATGCATATTTGTTATCGATACTTAGCCTCCTATAACTTACATCATAGCAGGGACGTATCCAAGGGGGAGCCGGGGGCGGTCCCCCCCCCTGGGCCCCTTCGGGCCTAGCCAGGGACAGTTTGGGGCCGGCAGGGCCAAAAAGCGGAAGAGTCGGTTCAGAAGGATTTATAGAGCCTTCGGGTTCAGTGATGGGCCCCTGGGGCCCTGCCGGGTCACAAACGGACCCGTAACTGCCCTTCGGCCCCACTTTTGGGCAGAGCCAGGGCAATTTGGAGCCCGGCAGGCCCCCAAAAGTGGAAGGATCCGTTTAGAAGGATATGCTCGAGCCTTCGGGCTTGAGGAAGGGCCTTTATGGCCCTGCCGGGCCCCAGACCTTATCGATTTTGGGCCCCAAACCCTTATCGGGCCCGAAACTCCCGCTTTTGAGCTAATTGACCTTGGAGAAGTTATGGCAAGCGGATAAAAAATCATTTTCTGGGCCCAGTCACAGAGACGTCTTGGCCTGTCCGGGCCCGAGTGGAATGGCCCGCTGAGGAGAACTTGCCCAGGCTTTCGGGTTCAAAAAAGGGCACCATGGGGCCTTGCTGGTGCCCATACAGGTCCGTGGCCGGGCTCCAAAAGCGGACCGGGCCAAGCCAATGACAGCCTGGGGCCCGGGAGGTTTCCAAAAGCGAAAGGGCCCGCTCAGAAGGCCTTAAGCCAGGCTTTTGAGCTTAAGTAATTGCCTCTTGGCCTCGACTATGTATCCAGAAAACGGGCCCAGATATGCGCTTCCGGGCCCAGTCTCAGAAACAGCTTGTCCTGGCCGGGCCCCAGAAACGGAAGGGCCTGCTGAGAAGGCTTTGCCCAGGCCATCGGGCCCGAGGAACAGGAAACAGCCGATGATTGGCCCCTTTCGACTGACCTCATGGGGCTGCTTCTGTTTACAGTTCTCCAAACAAAATTAGCTCCATAGTTCGTACTACTATAATTACAGAACGTATTATTTCCAGTTCAAATGTTTTTTTTTTTTTAGCTGCTCATTGAATTGATTTCATAGTTGAACCGACAAGAATGAACAGTATGTTAAATCGCGATACATAAAATCGCAATACAAAATAAATTGCGTTTTTCATCGATTTGCTCTTTTACTCGAACCGAAAATCAAGAACATAACAATACTGACCAGCAGCTATGTCAGGTGATGTTCGGAGGCGAATCCAATTATACGAATTGCTTCACCTCTCGCTTCGTGATAGCTCATATCATGAAACAATAGCTCTAAAAGCATGCCTATCAATCTTGGCGGCGGGCATGCGACGCTGCGCCGGCTCGACTTTCCACCGCGTCGCGGCGTGTTCCGCAGCACTCGCAGGTGATGCGGCACAGTCTACCAGGCCAGGCTGGCTGTCCAGCGCTACCCGTTCTACCAGGCTGGCCGGTCGGCCAGCAGTGCTTGTGGTGCTTTCTGTCCACTTTCATTTCCGTGTCCACTGTGTCCAGTATCCACTGTGATCAGTGTCCAGACTCCAGTGTTCACTGTGTCCAGCGACGATGGTCGCTAGATAGGAAGGACCTTATTTCGCATCATCGTACAGTCAGTCTTGTCTTTTCAGTCAGTCTTGAAAGTACCGCGCATCGGTGCAAATGGATCCACCAAGCCCGACCAAGGAAGGGCTGCTAAATTTGAGAACCACCAAACCAATTGACACCACCATCGATCCCCAGGTCAATTGGTTCACTGATTCTCAAATTATAGCAGGCCCTTCCTCGGTCAGGCTTGATGGATCCATCGCACTGATGCGTGGTAGGGGAAGTTGGGGCAATGCCGGAGTTGGGGCAAAGCCGAAATTCGAGATATTTCGAAAACCGTACGACATGGATGCCACCTGTCAGTGATGCTCTGAAGCTTAAGTGACTACCAATTATCGCATGTTCGTTACCAGTCGTCATTCGGAATACTTCGGCTCACGGCTGTGAGGGCGCCAAGAGCGTTTTCAAGGTACGTTTCCTTTGTACTACATGCGTCTTCGAAGCTGCATTTCCTACTCATTATGCTACCGTTTGTCTGGCCAATTCGGTCAAGTAATCTTCAGCACGTCTTTGCATAAGTGTGCTGCCTATTTGAAATTTATACAGCACGTTGAAAAGTTATGGGCCTGCAAATGAAAGTATGGCTGGCTGAGGTAATGCCGAAAACGTGCAATTACGCGCGTTAAAGCACGCTACGTGAACTTTACCGCTGTAGAGCAGCAACGCGTATTTTTAGTCACACAAATTACACTTTTAACCGACATAACGGCCTGTTACCATAAGGAATGATTTACCTGGCCTTTTCTTATTATATCACACAATTATAGCTTCCACTCCAGTGTGCACCAAGCGTCCTCAAGCTCTTAAAACGCGTGTCAGCTTTGACGAATTCTGGATAAAATATGAGATAAACTAGCAAAACATCAATTTCGGCATTCCCGTAGATCATTTCTCCCATTTTCGGCTTTCCCCGCAGTCCGGGGCAACGCCGAAAAAGTCACTTCTTTGATATTTTTAGTTTGTGCGCTTAACGGTATGCGAATTCATCAAATGCACCTGGTATGTTTGAAAGGCAAAAGACTGGCCTCTCGAATGACGCCAACAAGAATAGCTTATGTTGTCTATCTTGCGTGCTACGGGAGTCAGAAAAAAAGTATTCGGCGTTCCCCCAACTTCCCCTACTTTCAAGACTGACTGAAGGACGGTAGTAGGCATGGTGTGGACAGAGAGTTCGGGCAGCAGGCGCCAGGCTGCTACAAATGGTACATATTTTGAGCTGTCGGACTGTTTCCATGACGTAGTGACTTACGACAGTGGCGGTCGCAGGGGGGGGGGGGCCATCAGGGCCATGCCCCCCCCAAAGGCAAATCAGGGGGGCCATCATATCATTTGGCCCCCCCCCCCCCAAACAACCGATGGGCCCCCATGGCCGTATGGGGCCCTGGCCCGTATTCGATTGTCACGAGGCTCGAGAAACCCAACGCCAGCCATTAACAGCTCCCATACCAGTCTTTGAGGGTCCTACACTGACCTCTGAGGGCCCCTCAGTGGCGGTCAAGCGTCCACATTGACCGCTGAGGACCCACATTGACCTCTGAGGGCCCTCCACTGGCCTTTGAGGGCCCCTAAACCGGCCTCAGGGGCCCAACCGTCCTCTGGTGGCCTCATTTCTGTCTCTCGAGTCCCAAGACTAGCCTTTAAGTGTCT